AAGAAAAAAACAATAATCCCTGTGAATTCTGAAATGTTTTCATATATACTAAAATAAGCTTTTTCTTATGGTGAGGCACAAAGGCCACATCACACTCAAAATTTTGCTTTGTGGTCTTCACAGATTTACTGAATTCCTATCTACAGGAGAAGAATACACTATCAAGTAAAAGAAATAGCATTTAGCTCTTCTATGCCTGCTTCATCTTGAAATTGATTTCCACAGCCAATAATCAGCTACTTTCATCTCAAATAAACGCTCTCCATTTTCTCTCTGGTAGCCTGTACTACTCCACCATACCAAAAATGTTCCTATTTACGCTATTCTCATCTTGAAACCAGGGTACTAATGAGCTATAATAAATTAGCCCTGATTCCATGTAAAAATTTTTTTTTCTTTGAATTCTTCAATGTGAAAAGATGGGTCCTGGCTGTTTGTGCCATAGCACTAAAAGGTTCACTTCAGTAGGAAATAGCTTTGCTTTCAAAAATATATATATTGTTAGGTAGTTCAGCTAACTGCTAAAAGCACAGTGAACATAAATGTGATGAACAGATGAGGAAGTATGCTTTCAGAGCCACAAAAAGGAATATATGCTTTAAGACTGAAAATAGTTACTTTGATAGCACAGAATCCTAAGCCATTCTCTCCCTTTCCAGTCAGAAGGTATTATGGAGTGACAAGCAACATCGATTTCCATGCAAACTACACTTCTGCATATTTTATCAGGAACTTATTCTTAAGTCCCATTTGGTAAAACAAACCAAATCTTCCTATATATCGGGGAACAAACATTTTGGGCTACTGTACGATGGCCCTGCCTGTCAGTAAACTTCTTTGGGCACTGTCCCCTTTATATAGTAGTGCTGTATCTGTACAGTTACTAAAAGTGTTTCATAAGAGTATAAGAGAAATAAGATAAATGGAAAACATGAAAATGAAAGCACAGATACTAGCAGAGCTTCAAAAACTTAATTCAGTTGACTCAATCAATCATTTGATATGTTGATATTGGTATTTCTTAGATTTAACTAGTTTAAGTTGGTCAAAAGTATGAAAGAAAAAAGAAATCAATATTTTCAGATGCTAGCATTAATACCTGTGGAAGAGAAATAAAATTAAGAATTCAGCATATATATGTTTAATTTCTTTAGCATAATTAACCTGAATACATGTTCTCTGGAGTAATGACATTTAACCTCAGATATGAGAGAGACCACTTTAAGCAACCCACAATATGCTGAAACTCTTAACAGTTACCACGGAGTTATTATCCACATGACTTCAATTTCTACCTAACCACGTTTCAGACTCCAAAATTCAGTCCCTTAAACACTGGCTTCACACTCTGCCCTTCCCTCCTCTCCTTACTCTTTCAACGAGGCAATTCTCAACCACAGCACATAACTACAGATGATTTTTCTGCATCTGTGCCCAACCTAGCACTGCCTCGAAATAATTTTTAAAAAAGGAAAGAAAGACAAAGCACACATTCAGGCCAACTCTTACGAAGCTATCTTTTCTCCTCACACTTCTTAGTATATTCTTCACAAGGGCTACTCCAAATCTCTTCATCTCATTTTCAGAAGATGCATGGATTAATGATTAGATTCATAACAGTTTTAGGACTAAAGAATCTCAGGAGATATTACTGCCAATTCCTTCAGTTTATTTATAAATAAGTTAAGACCTAGAATGTAAACGACTATAGCTTTACAAACACTGAGCCAATTAGCCTGAAGTCCTCATGCACCCACAATTTCAGCATATTTAGTGCATCCTGATCCATCCACTCACTACGCCTCCTCAGGAGATCTATAGAGAAGTCAAGCATTCAGCTTGAAGCCACACAGCCTGATCACTGTTCCAAGTAGGCCACTTACTAGCTACATGCATCTGGACAAATCAGTTTTCTGTGCCTCAGTTGCTTCACTTGTAAAAAAGATGATAACAGTAGCACCTGGCTCACTGGGTTGTGACCATTAAAATATAAGGAAACATGTAAAAGGACCAGTCCCAAACCCAACAAAAAACAATGACGGAATCAAAGCTACTTATGATCATTATTATCATTCCCTATAGAACCTCTGGTAAATAACACAACTCTCTTCTAACCTTTACTTCTCCACTGTTCTCAAATCCACACTCTCTCCATATCCAAGAATTTCTAACTGTAGCCCAGCTTTAAGCAAAACTCTTCCGTTCTACTTCTGTTCTTTCTTTTAGGGGCCAACCTTCTTAAGTCTTTTTTGTTTCCCACACCTATTTACCATAGTTTGTTTCTGAAGATTCATCCCCTGGCTCTCGCACTGTCATTCTCTGAAACTCCAACATTTACTCCTCAGTATATGCTACCAAATGCAAAACCTTAATGTCCAGTTTTGAGTTCCTGCCCTAGCTCTAAACCTGTATTATGGCCAAACATATGACATTTCTACTTAAGCAACTTATTATGATCTCACACTCAATTTTCCTCAATAACAGATTTCTAAGGTACCTTCCAAGGTACTTGCAAACATTTCAAATATAATCTAGAACAAAATTTGTCATCTCCTCCACCCATTCCAAATCAATTTTCCATTATTAACTCCACACTGACATCATGTGCCTCCTGATGTGATGCACTGAGGACACAACATCACTTATGTATTATTCCTGCCAAAAATGCATAACCTGAAACTAGGTATTTTTTAGTCCTAAAACTGTTATGAATCTAATCTCCACCATAATTCTCCCACTAACCAAACTTTATCTAGTCTTACATCAGAATTTCTATCATCATCCATTCATTTCTAGCCTATTACTTTATTCAGATTTTTCTAGGTCTTCTCCTGTTTCTACCAAACATCTTCCCAATTCTACATTTACATTGCTCTCTTCTTAATCTTAAAATACTGTCATATTGTAACCCATAAAAACCTCCAATAAACCTTCACTATTAAGTCCAAATTCCTTAGCTTAGAGTTCAAGTTTTTCTCCAGTCCATTCCCAGACCAACTTCACAACATGATCTACAAACCTCATAAATTATATACCTCAGTCAAACTCTACTTAGACCACCTAAGTGTACCCAGTTTATTTCTGTATAATCATGTGACATCTAACACCCTGAAATGCCTTCCATGTTGTTCACTTATACCCCAGATCTTTCACAGCTCAGTTCAATTCGATTTTTTCTCAAGAAATCTTATAGCCTATGGTAATTCTCTTCTTCATTTGAATTCCTAAATAATTTATTGCCTATATTACTCATTTGCCATTTAATTATGTAATGCTCACACTGTTATCTCAATGTGTGTTACCATCTCACATCAGAGCAAAAACAAACCTAGACAGGGGAAGTACTTTATCTCTTTGTATCCACTGTATCATCCTAGGAAGTTGTGCAGAGTAGGCACTTAACAAAAAACTGCTAATGGCATGAAGAATACTATCATCACCTTCCTTCATGAGATATTAGTTACATCTGCTCATGTAATCCCACTTAAGAGAAAGGCATGATAGAAGGAATAGCAGAAATAGAAAAGTGACCATTTTGTAACCACCGTAACAATAATGATTCATGCAAGAATCATCGATGGATGCTAAAACCATCACATGAAGTTTCCTGGGGAACAGGATATGTACACAGTCTCAAAATATATCTGAACAAATTACTTATGAATTACAAAGGGAAAAAAGGTACCTTCACAGTGGAGAAATCTGGCGGACACCAAGTGATCAAAGTTAACATCACCAATAATGGGATAAACTGACATCATGTGCCTCCTGATGTGATGCACTGAGGACACAACATCACTTATGTATTATTCCTGCCAAAAATGCATAACCTGAAACTAGTCATGAGGAAACAATCAGACAAACCAAAAACTGAGGGACAATCTACAAAACAACTGACCTATACTCTTCAAAAATGTCAATGTGTTGAAAGACAAAGAAAGGCTGAGGAATTGAGTGTGTGATCCTGGATTGGATCCTGGATCAGAAAATAAACTGCAGTAAAGGATATCACTGCTACACCGGACAGCTAATGAATCTGAATGTGGACTGTATTAGATAACAGTATTATTAATGTTAAACTGCCTTATTTTGAACATTGTTCTTTGGTTAAGAGAACTTCTTTGTTTTTAGAAATATTCCAAAGTATCTGAGTGTGAATGAATCTAAAACTTAATTCTCTAATCATTGAGCAATAACAGTAATAACAAATATCAATAGAAAGATTGACAAACATGTGGGAAAACGTTAACTGGCGAATATACAGTATGAGACTATTGTACTATTGATGCAACTTTTCCATTTTTTTCAAAATAAGATTTTAGAAAACCAATACTCTACTACCACAAAGTATCTGAGAAGTTTTTATCTGTGGTATTTTACATTTTATCTGACAATCTTAAAGCAAGACATACTTGTCTTGCTTTATAAAAGCAAGTTCGTTCTATAAAAACAGTTTGTTGTAAAAAAAACAAATAAATCTTTTTGGAACCAAAGAACCATTTTATAATATTAACAGCCCAACACTAATTTATCTTTAAATAAATATATTCAGATTTATTGTAGTAAAACTCAGCTAAAATGAACACAATTTCAATTAGTGAAAAGTCAGACAATATCTTTTAAACGTGTAGTTTTATTATTTTCAAATATACAGAGAAAGTAGAGAACGCTAAAATGGGCTGACTAAGATTTTTAAGGGAAAAGATAAGGATCCATAATTAACATGAATCAAGCATTTGTAAATTGTTGAAAGTTTGTTTTCTTATTTATGATTATGTTTACCATAGATCACAAACATCATCTTCCCTCAATTATCAAAAATCCTGATTCAGCTGATTTAAAGTTTTGAGTGAGGTTTTATAATAGAGCCATTGATTGATTATTACTCCTATAGGCTTCCTAGAGCCTTTGAAAGTAATACTTCTCATCGAAATAAAATATAGTATTAAAGGATTTTCTAGATTCAATATAATTAGCAACAGTCCTTTAAAGTTGAATACCTTATTTATGAGATGTTCGGTAACAACTTCTCTTAGTCCAGTGTAGAGCTTTTCTCCATGTTTATGCAAAACCATTGTATAAGCATTTCTATAGAGCTCCTCAAAACTAAGACCACTGTTATTCTTACGCTGGATTTCTTGAATTGCATTTTTCAGAAGGTCCCAAATGCTGTTTACATATTTTTCATCCATCGTCATCTGTAATATCCAAGAGAGAGAAAGAGAAAAAAAAGAATACCAATGGTTGAAAATCTTTCTATATTTGTTCATATAGTAAATATGATTATACGGCTATGATTTAAAATCTGCATGATTTATAAGGATGTTAACAATCTGTTTTAGCAGAAATAATGGGATACATTTAAAAATAAATGTTAGAGCTGAAAGAAGCAATTTTTTAAAAATCCTTTAAGACTTCACTTCTTTCTTGTGTACATCAGAACCTTCCCCTTTAAATAAAATTATAATCCTTGATGTTAAATACTGCTTCAGTCAAAAGTGTGAGACATCTTTTTCTCTGAATTTGTTTAGCAGAATACAAGCTCAGATAGATACTAAGACAGAAAGGATTCCTTCATCAAAGGAATTGGGGACATAAAAATAATTTTCCTCTCCTGAAGATTTACAGATTTCTTTAGAAAATTAAAGACTGGGAAAAGACCTGCAATTAAAAACAAAAGAAACACAAGCAAAAAAAATCAAACCAGAACAACAAAATACATACATTTTCCTTTTTTAACCCAGCATTCTCTATTTTCCCCTCCTTTCCCTGTCAGATTCCACGGTCAGTCATTTGTAAGGACGTTGTACACACCTATAAATCACATGCCCCTCTCTTCCTCACTCTGACACAACTGCCATTCTAAATCCCAACTGCCCACCTACTCCTCATATGCACCTATGTAATAGCTGAAAATAAATGAAGAATAATATTTATAATCCATATTTGGTCTTTCTCAGGTTAAATTCGTAACCACTATCCGAAAGTGGGCCCTTCGTGCAATCTCACAATCCTACTTTACCAGTCCACTGACTCTACACTCTGAGATGATTTTACATCATCTCCTCCATCTTCACTCTAGGATAATGACTTGTTCCAATTCCAGTAAGAATACAGTAACAACCTGACAAGATACTGCACTGACTCCAACCATATCCACTAACCTGACTGAATACCAATATAATTTGGTAATTCTGTGCCAAATTCTTATCCTCAAATTACAGCAAAGGGACCAGAAACATAGGCATCATCTACGAACTTGTTGGAGAAGCAGAATTTCAGACCTTATCCTCAACCTAGAGAACCATAATCTTCACTTTAGCAAGAACCTCAGGACCTCTACAGAATGAAGTTTAACAAGCTTTAGTTCCATTCCACTCACCTATGCAAGGACCTCCCCTTAGCAATCTCTCTTTCCAGTACCATGAAATTTTTTTCTCTGCTGGACAATTTCCATCACATTCAAAACCACCAGTTTCCCATCTTAGGAACAAACAAATAAAACTCCACACATTTTTCAGCACCACCTAATTTCTGTTTTTTCCATTTACGACAAAATCAAGGGGTGAGGGAGGAGAGAATTTCCACACTGACTGCCTCCAAGTCCCATTTTTCTCATTTTATCTTGAATCCATTCCAATAAGGTCTTCATCTTTACCATCTCACTGACACTACTCTTGATCACCACTGAATTCCAAACTGCTAAATTTCAAGGTCAAAGTGTTAGTTCTCCTCCTACTTGACCTATATGTTAGTACTGAAAAAGCTGGTCATTCCTACTCCTTGAAACAGATTCCTCCTCAATTCCTCAAGCACTACAATCTTTTGTTCTTCGTCCTATTCTACCACCTTCTGTCAGTTTGCTTACTGGTTCTTTCTCATCACCAAAGCACAAGCTTCAACCCTAACTAAGGCTCCGGTTCTGAGCCTCTTATCTATCCACACTAAGTTTTTAGATGAAGTTGCTATTCTCAAAGGCTTTATGTTAACCTCAAAAATTTTATAACCTGTTTGGCCCTCTTTTCTTAATACCAGAGTCATATATTCAGCTACCTACTCAATATTTTCTACTTGAATGCCTACTAGGTATCTCCAATTTTAAATCTAAGACAGAAATCTTAACTCTTTCCCCCTAAATAAGCTTCCCCTGAAGGCTTCTCCAGCTGAGCAAATGTCCACTTCATCCTTCCAGTTGCTGAGGCCAAAAAGGTTGTAATCCTCTTTACTCCCTCATTTCACCTCTAATCGAGCAGGAAATTCTGTTGTCTCTATTTTTAAAATGTACCCAGAATCTAACTCCTCCTCACTACTCCATTGCTACTAGCTTAGTCTGAGCCACCACCACACCATCTCTCAGGTCATTTCAATAGCCTCTGACCCGGTCTGTTTCTGCTCTTGGCGCACTATCAAAGAGAACCAGAGGGATTTTCTGAGAGCATAAACCAAATCATGTCACTAATATTGCTCACAACCATCATGACCTTTCACTTGTCAGAGAGTTAAGTCAAAGGCCTTGTCCTTCCTATGAAGACTTGTTCAATCTGATAATCTGACTTCATCTAATCTGTCTCATTGCTCACTCTGCTCCAGCCACACGGGCCTTCTTGCTGTTCCTTGGAATATGTCTAAACAAGTTCGCTTCCAGGCGTTTGCATGTGCTACTCTGTCTGGAACGTTCTTTATCCATATATCTTAAGGGCTCATTCACTTATCAACCTCAAAACTGCTCCTACTGTCACCTTAAATTGAAGCTTTAACTGTCCACTCTATTTAAAATAGCGACTCCTCCGAGTAACACCACCAGATCCCAACCTCGCATTCCTTATTTTTGTTTCTTGACCCCCCTCCTCCCTGCCAAATGCCAGCTCCATTAAGGCAGGGATTTGAAATGCTCAATCCCTCAGCCACAAAAATAGTACCTGGAATATAACAGGCATTTACACTTGTTGACTTAATAATTATTTCTAAGGAGGTCTTTTCATGTCACACAAAACCTACCAGTTTTGCATTCACAACCTGGGAAACACTGCAATTACCCATGTGCTCCACACATACTTCTGACCTGAACTGGACAGAAATAACTGAGCTAGTAGAATCCTCTCCAAAAAGGATAGGAAAAAACCTTTTGGAGGTGATGGGTATGTTTATTGCATAGATTTTGGTGAAGTTTCACAGGTGAATACTTAGCTCCAAACTCTTCATGTTGCATACATTAAATATGTACAGCTTTTTGTGTATCATTTATACCCCAATGAAGTGGTTTTAAAAAAAAATTATCTGCAAGCCATGTCTAATGAGTATGAATGTGAAAGAGGAAGGTGTAAATAGGCAGAATAGTTCTTTCAGTCACTCTAGCAATAAAATACCAGCTTAACTCTCAATTAAGAGGATTCTTAAGCAGATGACTCAAACTGAGTCTTCTAATACTTATCTTTTCTGGAGAGCTTAAAAGTAAATTCTTTTAACAGAACTTCTTCCCTGTTACTCAATTCCAAATCTAACAGAGATTTTTCTGAAGTGGCTTTAAAAGAATTTAATTTACCCTTACATCTAAACTACTACTTTTATCAGATATCCTGATACATATGATGCCAACCATATGAAATGTAAATAATATGCGGTTACTTATAACTCTTTACAAAAGAGACAAGCCCACATGATGGCCTCAAACAGTCCATGTGTGTGCAATGTAGTTTTAATTTGCTGACAGCATATGCAGAGGGTATAAAAAAGCAGACTAGGACCCCATCCCTTGATGTTAAATAACAACATATAAAGCAGAGTACTTAGAAAGACATCAAAGAAAGAGTAACATTAATGTGGACTATAAACTCCAGAGATAACTAACCTGCTAATATGGTAAAGTAGTATCACAATGTTAGTGTGATTATCTTGGTAAACAGTATGGTGTATCAGCAGAGAACATGGGTTCTGCTGTCTGACAGGCCTGGATTTGTGTCATGGCTTTGCTCAACTCACAAGCCATGTGACCTTGGGCCAATTATTCCCCACTAAACCTTAATTTCCTCACCTGTGAAGTGGGTTTAATACTGTCATGAAGATTACATGAAAAAGTCAGTAGAATTCAGCCTGGCCCTGTGCACAGTACAATCCCTCACATGTTGACTTAAAAATGTTCAATGATAGAATCTTAACTCTCATCTGTGGGCATCAAATGTCAGAAAGAAATAGAGCTTTTCAAGTTTAGCAACTAAACAGATACACGCCAAAACCAAAGTACCTTAAGAATACAATTATACTAAATGCAAGTCAGTATAATACAGCCTTCTGTCAGAAATAGTATTCCCCTACTCATGCCTCCTATTCCAATGCTGAAGTCATTTTAACCCCCAATACTCTCTCCTTGGCTCTTTCTACCCTACACTGGGTCACTATGCATTTTCATTCATTATCATGGTTACTACAATGACTACCCACACATCTAGGGTTCTAAAACTTACAAAACTCTAGACTGGCAAAAGCCTTCTAAAACTGTACATAAAATTTTGCAAATACAATGTGTGTGCATGTCTTTTCTGGATGCTGGGTCCCTAGTTCTTATCTGATTTCCCAAGAGATTTGGCCCACTTCTCAAAGATAATCACTGGCTTATATACTGCTCCCAAATCTTTATTGCCAGCCTAGCTGTTCCCTCAAAGTCTGAAACTACTGCCTTCAACTACCTACTAGAAACCTCCAACAAATGCTCCAGACAGAGATCAAACTTATCATGTCCAAAATCCCTGGTAAATACACACTCTAAACTCCCCACATCTGCCTAGATTCTATAGTTCAGCAGTAGCAACACAAACCACCTAGTTATACAAAGTACAAGCATAAACCTTAACTTTTCTTCTTCTCTCATTCCTTTCTCATCCAATCAAGTGCTAACATCAGAGCCAAAGTATTTCCCAAATACGCTCACAGTCTTTCATCCTGAATACTATTATCCTAAAATTTTACTCTAGATCACTACAACAGGGTTCCACCTATCATGATCTCTAGTAATCTCTTGGATCTATCTTCCTCAAAATCACAATTAAAATAAACATGAGCATTACACCCCTGTTCAAAACTCAGCTCTCAGTAATGACAGAGATGGGGGGTACACTTTAAAGGGGAACATAACACCCTTCAAGATCTAGTCTATGCCTATTTCTCTAACTTCATCTTTCACTCACTACTATTATCTTACATT